TTTATTTTATTTCACCATGGTTATTATAATTTCTTTTATAGAAATAATTCATGATAAGTTCTTATATATAAATAATACGTAGTAATTTAAATTTTTACAAAATTTGCATGATTTTTATTTCGCTTCGGACCTACATAAGATTCTGATTTCCTAGTATAAAATACTATTCTCCCCCCAGTAAACTAGTTTCCTCCTCTTGTGCGATTCATTAAAACTACTTAATGAAATTTAATTTATCAAATCGTTATAATGGCAACATGACATTGTCTCGTTTAGTATCATTAATGGAATTCCTGGTACACACATTATTGAGTTTTTAATTATATGTTCAGATGATAATGCTGATATTAAATTTAAAACATTACTTATTTGTGAAGGACTTGGCAAAATTCTAGAATTATGTGGATTTGAAAAGTCACTCGAAAACTCAGATGCGAGGGTGGTTGAATAGTTTGGACATTGTCGATAAATAATATCTTGTTTATTTGACATTTCAGTTAGTCTCGAAAATGAGGTGTGTATTAAAAACACGGCTAATTGCTGGCTACAAGCTGTTTATTTAGTATTTAACATTTAGGAACTACAAGCTATTTTCTTACCACATTGATTGAATACATTTCAGCAATGAATACCAAAGACACATCATCTGTTGGTGCCTCAGTTTCGCTTCAACAAGAACTTATTTAGTCATTGAAACTTATTTATTATAAGCTCCTTTGCACCTTTAACGGAAAAACAGGCAAAGATAATTCGTATTGTAGCACAAATGGTATTACTTAGCTTTTCGGTGTTTTCTGAGTAGTTTTCCTTGCACATACAAACTACTATTAGGGCTGTTAACAGCTAACTTGAGACCGGCTCTATCCTATAATGGAGCTGAGCCGACCAAGCCAATTGAGCTGTAGCTTGAATCGTAATCAAGCTATAGCTTAGAGTCGCAGCTTGAGCTGTGTTTTGAGCTCTTAATTTTTACGGATTAATATCACGTTTCCAGTTAGTAAAACTGCGGCTTGAGCCATGGGGCTATTAGAACCACCGTTTGAACTATGGCTCAGGTTATTCATGGCTCAAGCTGGAGCTGTGGCTTTTAGGAACCAAGCCAAGCCATTCGAGCTGATACCAGCCCTAGTAACTCTAACTCACATTGATATGTATGCATGAAGTCAGATTAAATTGACTCATTATCAGTAGTCAAACTTTTTCAAATTTAGGGTAGTTTACAAATGCGCCGTAATGGTATAGATAACTTCCAATTTTAGCCATATTGTTAGTAAACTAGCTCTTTAAAAGTCTTTAAAATTATTCAATATATTTGTTATGTTTGTTTATGTGTGTTTTTTTTTACTGAATGTTGTACTCGTGAGCATCCACCTTTTTTTTTTTTAATTAAATAACAATAGATGTCGTACTGTAATGAATTAAAAATTTTTTTTTATATATTATTGTAAATAATCCCTTTATTTTCTCGGTAAAATACCGCATGTATATAGTTTATTAATAATTCTCCATCCATTTTGGTAACAATGCCCAATTTTAGTATATCTATTAATTTCTTTTGATTATCGTCATTTCATAACTTATATTAAAATGGTAATGATGAGTGGCTTAGTAACAGGGAAATCAGATGAATCACGTAAACACCGAAAAAACCGCGTATATGTGATTGCACAAAGACTGCGCCTTAAGATTTTTCGGTGTGTACGTTATTTTTACGGTGTATACACCCAAATTTCCACGTCTACGTTATATTTTCGGTGTAAATGTTGTGCTTGAGATCGATGCTTGCGTCAGTTGACAGCTGACGCATCTCAGGTATTGATCGTTAGATGAAGTGCCTCGGATAATCTGAGATGCGTCAGCTGTCATCTGACGCGTTAATAACATTTGACTAAATGGTCAAAATAAAAATTCGTAACTGATATAAAATAATATATAAAAATCATCCGAATATTTGTAATGCAAAATTATTTTAATACACTGGCGATCATAAATAGTGCAACAAAAAAAAAATTTTAGTTAGATCGAATTATCTCATGCAATTCCGGTCGTATTTGTTAACTTTTTTTTT